CAAGTTCCAAGTTAAGCTAAAGAAGAAGAAGAAAGCCAGTCAGTTTCCATGATATGATCTTGAATATATACCCACTATGTTTCAAGGAATTGCTTTGAAGTCCTGAACTTCATTGATAGAGAACCAGAGGAATTATGGAATGAACTTAAAGAAGTCATTAAGGATGAATGTGAAAAGAGACTGCCAAAATGAAGAAAGAGAAGAAAGCAAACTGGATATCAGAGCAAACCATGGAAATTGCCAAGAAGAGAAGACATGCCAAAGCCAACAAAGACAAAGACAAACATCTCAGAAAGGAACTTAACAAAGAGTTTCAAAGAGCTGTTAGAAGAGACAAGAAGCAGTATTACAACATCTGTAAAGATATTGAAGATAGAAATAGAAAAACAAGGAAAGTCTTTCAAAAGATCTCTGAATTCAGAAGGATGTTTCAACCTTGAATTGGTATGCCAAAGAACGCCAATGGACATTCAAAGGAGACCAAAGGAAAATGGAAGGAGTATACTATACAGTAGAGACGTTAACTTCCAAGATACCTTAGAAGATATTCCTTACAAGAGCCTCTATTACTAGAAGATAAAGTTAGATCAACACTCCTGTCATTACCAAATTGGAAGGCTACAGGAACTGATGGAATAGCCCCTGAAATATGGCAAGCAACAGAATAATAAATCAAGTTTCTAACTAAGCTATGCCAGCAAAATGACACAGTGGCAAACTGATTGGAAAAGCTACATTCCAATACCAAAAAAAGGAGGCTTAACAGAGTGTGCAAACTATTGTACAATATCCTTAACTTCACATGCTAGCAAAATAATGTTTAGGATCATCCAACACAGATTAGAGCCCCACATGGAAAAAGTTATGCCAGATGTTCAAACTGGCTTTAGAAAAGGAACACGAGACATTATCGCTGATGCATACTGGATAACTGAGAAAGCCAAAGAGTACCAAAAAAACAAGTTGGTATTTGCTTTATTGATTATAAAAAAAGCCTTTGATTGTGTCAATCATATCAAGCTGTGGAAAGTGCTCAGAAAAATGGGAATTCCAGAACATCTCATTGTCCTCATGAGAAACTTATATACAGGTCAGAAAGCCACAGTAGGGACAGAACCTGGTGAAACAAACTGACTCCAGGTTGGCAAAGGAGTGCAACAAGGTTGCATACTCTCCCCTTATTTATTCAATATTTATGTGGAATATATATTAAGGGAACTGGATTGGAAGAAGATGACCATGGTTTTAAAACTGGAGGAAGAAACATCAATAACCTGTGCTATGCTGATGACACTACCCTG